GTTGCAATAATGTAGGTGGACAGGACATATGAAATAGAAGGAAACACTAAATGAGTTCTGAATGTGGGGTCTGAGAAAGATTAGTAGAGAAGGAAAGAAGGCTTAGAGACTGGCCCATGAAGGAAGAAGGAAAAGAAGGGCCTGCCGTTATGAGGGAACAGACAGATAGGAGATGTGCACTGAAGCATGGAGTATGAAGTCTTCCAGGATGAGCATAGTCCTGTCTGAGGACTAAGGAGAAGTGTCATGAAAGAGCATGTTTAGAAGGAAGAGTAATACGAGGGAGTGAAATGCATGGACTATTGGATAAAGGAGTTTTTATTGAGCATTTACCCTGTGCACATGCTGTGTGAAGTGCTGCCTATGTGGTAACTCATTTACTAATATCACAGAAGCCTTGTAGGAGAGGCACTGTCATTCCCCATCTTACAGGTGAGGAAACTCAGGCACAGACAGGTCAAGTACTTCCAAGTTGTACAGCTAGTGAGTCACAGAGCCAGCACCCTATGTACCACTGGCGTTATTAAAACATTTTGAATAGTTAAGCAACATATCATTTCTGTTGCTACTACATTTTTCTTTCATAAATAATGAACATATTTAAATTAAATTTAGAAAGTAAGCAATGAATATTTGCTGTCTCTCATCTGTACTTAGAAGCTCTGAATATTCAAATATATTAATTTCCGTTTTTGTCTCTTCCTCATTCAATGAGATGACTGTTTCCAAAAGCTATTGGCTTAGACTGTTTTCCTGGTGATTAATCTACAATATAACAGTACAATTTCATTTATTTTTGTCCACATTCATATTATGTTTAACTAAATTTTTCTAATATTCTCATATTCTGGAAATGATAGAGGGTTTTTGTTTGTTTGTTTTTTTCTGAAATCACTTTGCCCTTTTATTTTTCTTGTAACTTTGAACTTCACCCGTAAATAGTTGTTGATGGCAACCAATTCATCAACATACAGATTATACTCATGTTTTGTCAAGGATTTTCTGCCTGAACAAATTTTCTAATCTTCTATTAAATATGCTTCCTTTTTATAGCAGGTCATTCAACTATCAATTCATTCTCATTAAACTATTACCAATTCTTTCTAAATACTTATATAAACTAAAAATATCAAACACATGGAAATACATCCAGAGGATCGAAGTTCAGTTCAATTTCAACATTACTATTTATGCAGCATGGAGGACAGCATCTAACGTTATCTAATTGCTTTACCAAAGAGTGCTTTCATTAGCTCCAATGAATATCAGCTCTTTTTACCTCACTGAAATCTGTAACATTCCATGTTTCATTCTTTAAATTTGGGGTTTATTTTACTTGAATTATTTGGGAAAGACACAAACTTTGTAAGTGCGGCCTGTTCTATAAATATTTTTGAACCCAGGTAACCTTAGTCTGTGTTCTCGGAGACGTTGCCTACCTCTTTTCTAGTGATGACCTGGGGTCAAGACACAGGCAGAAGATCCTAATCCCTGCCTGAGTGATAGTATCATCACAGATGATCCCCTGTGGTGGTTTCTATGTATCTAGGGGAACACAGCCTGAAGTGTCTATTACTCCTGTGAGAAAGGATGCCAGAGAAGGTGGAAGATGGTTAACCTAAAGTAGACAAATGCCTAGCATAGAGGAAATATGAGGAACTGTCAACTTGACCTTTGCCATTCCAGACAGCAGAGATAGGACTAATGTGCAGAAGCTACTAAAAGGTAATTTTCAACACGAAGAAAGAATTACTTACGTAGAGACTTAAAAAATGAAACAAGGTGCTTCCCAGATGAGGAAGACAATCATTTGCAGAATATTTGCCATGGGTCTCCATTATCAAGGAGACACTTAAAAATTCAGTAACCATGTGATTGATTTTCCAAACAGAGATGCATTTGAGAATGAAGGAATAGCTGCAAATAAACCAGGATATCCCAAGCAAACCAAGTCTCACTTCACCTTAATTCACCCTCATTGTTGATCATCGGTTATATGTATTTGACATGTGAAGAATAGGGAAGATTGATCTCAGTAGGGACAAGGGTCAGAGCTCATGGGATTCTGGGACATGGAACAAATCTGTAACATTTTCACCTCCTTCTCTTCCCATCTGGTAGAATGAAGTCCAAAGACCTGGATCGAGCAGACTTGCGTGAGCAAGCCTGGATATACGCAAAGTGTTAAGATCCAGAAGAATCCAAGTGGGAACCATTTTAGGATACGGGCACTGTTCCCAGACCCAGGGTGGAGTAAATACTATTCCCGAAGCGAGTTAGTCAGGGGGTTCTAACAGAGCATAATATAAAAGAAAGCAAGAGAGGGGGCACCTGGGTGGCTCAGTCGATTAAGCATTCCACTCTTGATTTCAGCTCCGGCCATGATCTCACGGTTCGTGAGTTCGAGCCCTCCGTGCTGTCAGTGAAGAGCTTGCTTGGGATTTTCTCTCTCCCTCTCTCTGTGCCCCTCCCCTGCTCACTCTCCATTTCCCTCTCTCTCAAAAATAAATAAATAAACATTTTTTTTAAAAAAAACAAAGAACAGGACCAACCCCAAAGGGCAGGATACTGTGGGGATGACAGAGTGGAGGGCAGGACCAGCAATGCAGGCAGGCACTGTGAGCAGACCTGCAGGATGATGGAGGAGTACAGTTTCCCAAAGTGCGGCCTGTGCTTACCATTCCAGAGAGGCCTAAAACTATCTAATGACCCACATCTTTTTCTTCCAATTTTAGTGGCAATTAAAATGTAATTACAAAAACTTTTTTCTGTGGCTTACACTGAAATCTGTGAGTGTGTGAAAGGCAAATAGAAATTAACAGTCCTAAACTAAAATTCTCATCTTACTACCTTCAGAAAGCTCTGTCCCCTTCTCACACTTGCCGGTGTTCAAGGGGCACCTTCCGCTCGGCCATGCAGCCAGCCTGACTCAGAGAAAATGGCTTCCACTTCCTCCAGTTAGAATGAACCACTCAGGGTATTCCAGCCCCTTGCTCTGTGATCACTCAACTCCAGCCAACACCACTGGTATATCCCTTGGCAACTGGTATTGGTCCAGGCACATGGCATAAGTCAGCCATACTTTAGAGAAAGGTTATTTTTCAAAATGAATAAAGGCGAGCATGTTTAATTTAGCAGAAGCCAGCCTACAGATAAAATCACCACGTGAGGTGACTGAACAAAGAGAATGAGAGAATGGCAGAAAGGGAGAGTTAGAGCTCTGTTTTCACTAGGCATTCCTCACCATTAGCTCTCCTTTCTATGTGATAGTAACTTTCTTATTGTTTAAGCCATTTTGACATGGATTGTCTTGACTTGTCACCTGAAAGTGCCCTTACAGATCCATAGAACCGTGGTTTCCCAAACCTGCATGCATATTAGAATCGCCTAGAGACCTTCAAAAGTTGCTGATGCCTGTGTTCCACTCAGAGTTGATGATTTATTGGTTAGATGTGTGGCTGGGTGAGCAAATTAATCCATAAGCTCCCTTTCTTCCTGGAGATTCTTAAGAATTTATCACTGTCCCAGACTGACGGAGTACTCTAAGACTCCTCAAAATGACAGAGAATATGTGTTCCCACAGGACTCAGTCCATTCCCTGTAATGAAGGAGGGACTTTTATGCTTTGAGGCAAGATTTAAGTTGCTCTGCACTGCATACTTGGATTTCTGCTTGATTCCCTTGTCTGTGCCAAAAGATTAAACTTTGAGATGCTTCTTTAGTAAAATGGGAATAGACGTCTCAGTAAGCCACATGTTTAGGGTCTCAAGAGGCCATAGTGAGTGGTCCCAAATGCTCAACAACTATTCCTTTCTTAAATGGAAGACATGAAAGGAAAGAGGTGGAGTGGGAGAGGAGGAATTGAGATCAGACCCCTATTAACATGCTCTGACACCTCCAAGCCTCAGTACCCTGCTGGGTGATAAACCAAGAAAAATAGTATCTGTTCCATCAACATAGAGTTTTTGTGACATAATATGACACATATGAAAAAAATTCAAAGTAAGAAAGGATTCTGTGAGGGGCGCCTGGGTGGCTTAGTCGGTTAAGAGTCCGACTTTCGCTTAGGTCATGATCTCGCGGTTCGTGGGTTCGAGCCCCGCATCAGGCTCTGTGCTGACTGCCAGCTCAGAGCCTGGAGCCTGTTTCAGTCTGTGACTCCCTCTCTCTCTGACCCTCCCCTGCTCACACTGTCTCTCTCGCTCTCTCCTAGAAATAAATAAAACTTAAAAAAAAAAATTTAAAAAAAAAAAAAGAAAGGATTCTGTGAATGTAAGTTATTGTTACGAGAGGTTTAGAGAGTTAAAAAAGAAGTCTAGACCTAACCCTAACAGACACAGCGGTGCCAGCAGGAGGAAATGGCTCAGGGAGTTAAATCCTTTGCCAACCTGATCTCTTCACCCTCCCTTTCATTTTCCCTTTCACCTCCCTTCATAAAATATCAAGCTTGCCCTGTAAAGTCAACTCTAAGACGTGTCCTTGTACCAACTTACTTTCCACTGATTGCCACCCTCTGAGCCCCACCCATAGAAATCCTAAGGCTGCCATTCATAGGCAGGAAGGTTGTTTTGTTACATATCTCCCCCTAGGTTTTAAGAAGCCCCAACTTCCTCATCCAGAGTGCACCTTTGGGTACCACAATGTGCTATCATTCCCCACTTGAATTGTAATGTCTATCAAAAGAGGCATCTCTCGGGAGGCTTGAGTGCTAAGTGGGGAGTGATTTTTAGAGATGTGTGGGAAATGGTTTCACTATTTGGCAGTTCCTCAAGGCAAGATGATTTGAGATGTTGTTGTTGTTGTTTTAAATACCCTTGATCAGCTCATTATGCTATTCCCTTATTTCTGAAAATGCCTTGTCACTGGAATTTGGCAGTGGGTCCAAAGTAGAAGTTGAATAAACCAGAGGATTATAACTTTTAGTTTATTCCATTCATTTACCATATGTTTCACATATATCAATGTATATATTCACCAGGAAATCAATCTTTCTTTTACAGATCTCTCCATTAAAATTTACCATTCTGAAACTAAAGACATAGACAATGCCCCAAGAATCGAAACAACCGAAAGTGCTGCAAAAATGCACAAAATGTCAACCATGAAACGAATATTCGATTTGGCCAAGCATCGACCAAAAAGATCAACATTTTTCCCAACCGGGGTTAAAGTCTGTCCACAGGAATCCATGAAACAGATTTTAGCCAGTCTTCAAGCTTATTATAGATTGAGAGGTAAGGAAAGAGATATAATCTGCTTAGCCTCTCATTCTTTTTATCCCTTCCTTTTCATTCATCCATACATTGTCTTTAGGCCAAAACTTCCAGACTCTCTCATTTAGTCACATGAGTTATAGAAATTAGTCAACTAATCTGAGAGTAATGAATAGTAAACATTCAAAACTATGATAGATATCTGCTCTTATGTTTAAAATGATGTCTTGTGCAACCCAGAACAAGGCATTTAATGAGTCACCAGAAGGCCTTGGCATCTGGGTATTACCTCTTTGTTTTATTTTTGTGAAAGCCCAAGATTGAATTTTAATGTTATCATTATGAAGTAAGAAGCACAGAATGATTGCAACATCAGGAATCTGAGCAAGTTGATTTATGACTTAAGATTTCATTTCTCAAAAGCAACATTACAATCCAGATCCTCTCTCCTTTCTTGTTGAGTTTAAGTTGTTTATTGCTGACCCAGCAAAAAGTGCTGAAGTTTGAAAACCGGGAGACACATTCAAAGTGCACAGGAGTCACAGATTAACAGTGGTTACCAAGATATAATGCAGGGATGTTAACAGGATTTACAACACAATCACTGTGATTTCCAGCAGAGTTAAAGTACAGTTTTCACCCCAAGACAGCACCACAGAATTCTTGTGGCTTTCTCAGAAATCATGATGGACTTCAAGCACACCATAGCCATCAGTGGCTATCCTTGTCATTCACTTTCTACAGATGAAAAAGTCCCCATGGCTTTTTCTTTAAATGAAAAACAGAACACACACACGCACGCACGCACACACACACACACACACACACACACAAAACCCTTTAGTAGATACTATTAAATCCCCCAGGTTACTTCAAATAATGGAAAAATATCTAACTGAAACCTAAATCCAATTCATCTTCCATGTGAAAATTGAGGAGGTTTTCTAATGTTCACCTTCATCACATTAGATAATTGTTTCCATTCCAAAAATCACAGTCAACCTGCTCTGTTTCAAGCCCATTAACTAGTGTATGTTGGTTCAATTCTAGCCTATGATGTATTACAAATTATGACAACAGAGAACCTATTTCATGGTACTAACATCTTACAAAGTTCTTGAGTATTTACATCTGTAAAATGTACTAAAGTTGAGTTTGCCTGGGGAGTTTTTGCTGGTTTTCTACTGGGAATTTTTGGAGGTATAATTAACTGTCTCAAAAATATCAAGCCTTATGTTCCTCATATGTCTCATTTTATGTGGAGGAAATACTTGCTTTCTGACAGAAGCCATACCCCCAGAGAACTGACAAGTACTGGACCACAGTCAGAAGAAGAACTGTAATTCTAGAAAACCAAGTACACCATAGTATTATGCTGAGGTCCTAGCATAGCACCCCTGCATAGCAGTTTCTGAGTAAACACTTGTTGATGGATGCAGGAGGCAAAGAGGCCATTGGACATGCGAAGAAAAGACAGTCATGTATAAACTATTCATTTTGAATGTGCCTACACATTGATTAGATAATGACACTGGTAAATTTCATCTTATTTGTTCTTAAATGGAAGTAAAATATATAGTATGTGCATCACATTGAATATGAACACAACCAATGCTATTTTTCAGGTAACTTCTAATTCTTTATGACATTAACAAATAGGATTCATCACAGGTATTTATAAAATAGGCTACTTATTGCTGCAACCAGGTTTTTAACTCTGAATTTTATCCTTAACTCTTTACTCTTGATTCGGTTTGCCATTTTCAATTTTGCTTTCCTCATGAAACAAACCACTGTGTTTCTCCCCATGGCAACAACAGTCCATTATCTTTATGGCTGCCCCTGGGTGATATGAAGTTTTACTATTCATCAGCATAGGTTCTTCAGTCTGACATATTGGTTCACAGAGAACCAAGAAATAAGACCTTGCTACAACACGGTGTTCCTTTGACAGAGTTACCCACTTAACGTTTTTGTTGCTGCTTTTACGAAATTATCTTTTGACATCTTTCAAACTTCGGAGAGAAAGCTTCTACATTCATCAGATCAAGTGAAATATTGAGATACTTGTTTCTCCAATGCTTAAAACAGCACAGATGACCATGTTCTGAGCTTCATGGTAGAATCATAAACATGTTCATCCCAAAGCACAAATGCAAAACCTCAAGTCTTTCTGGTAGTCTCCCAGGGGAGCCCTGTGCACCCCCCCAGGCAAACTCCCTGCTTTTGATTTCTTCCCTTCAAACCCCCTACCCCTCTCTGTATCTCCCTCTTCCCCTTCCCCCTCTTCTGCCACCCCATCTCCCTCTTCCCTTTATACCTCCCCACCCCCATTTGCCTCCTTCTCTCTTCCTCCTCCCTCTTCTCCCTCCTTGTCCCCCTCCTCCTCCTCTTCCTCCTCTTCTTTCTCTTCCTCTCTCTCCACCTCTTTCAACTGCAAAACTGCAGTATCAAAAGCTAGATCTTCCTTCCACGTTAATTTATGCCTTAGAGAAAGTTTAAGATGAAGGGAATCCTAGCTCTTCCTTCTCCATGTGTCATCCATAGACCGGCAGCATCACTAGCATCTGGCTACTTGTTAGAAATGCAGACCTACTTTCACCCCACCATATCCACTTCTGGAATCTGCATTTTAATAAGATTCCCAGGTAATTCATTTGCTAGTATTTTATTGAGAACTTTTACATCCATGTTCAGGGATAGTGGCCTGAAGATCTTTTTTTTTTTTTTTTTTTTTTAGTGGGGTCTTTGTCTGGTTTTGGAATCAAGGTAATGCTCATACAGTGAACTGAGAAGTTTTCCTTCCATTTCTATTTTTTGGAACAGTTTGAAAAGAATTAATTCTTCTTTAAATGTTTAGGAGAATTCCCCTGGGAAGCCCTGGACTTCTGTTTGCTGGGAAATTTTTGATTACCGACTCAATTTCTTTATTGGTTTTTGGTCTGTTCACATTTTCTATTTCTTCCTGTTTCAGTTCTAGTAGCTCATATGCTTCTAGAAACTTGTCCATTTATTCCAGATTGCCCAATTTGTTGGCATATAATTTTTTTATAATATTCTGTTAGAGTTGTTTGTACTTTTGTGGTGCTGACTGTGATCTCTCCCCTCTAGGAAATAATTCCTTAAACAGCTTCAGGTATTTGTGCTTCAGGGAGAAAGTTCTTTTAGAGCTTTTGTTAAAAGTAGAGTTTAATGGGGATGGGAATTTTCTGTGTCCCTGAAGTAGGAGAAAAGGCAGCAGAGAAAGGGGCAGAGCTAGGAAGATACAACCACCAAAAACAAGCCTTAAATTGGACTGAAATAAAAGGAAGACTTAATCTGAGACCAAAAGCAACTTGCCTGCAGGTATATCAAACTAGTAAATAGAAGGATTGTCATATTATGTTCTTCCAGATGTTTCACGCACAGATATTATCAGTGAAAGTCACCAACACTAAGACCCAAAAGGCAGCACTAGTTTTTATATACATGGAAATCCTGTATCTCTGGCACTTTAATGTGTTTTCAATTAAATTAGCAGGTACACTGGGTAGAGATGGAAGGTCAAAAACACCTCCAAAAAAGAGTGTGGAGTAAATAGATGAGAAGGGTAGCAAGGGCAACTGGTTTGCTTGGACTGGATACATAACTCTTAAGGTTTGGGTAAGTCTCAAAATACTCAAGTGTTGTTTCTTTTTTGCTTAGTATGTAGACTCTTGAGTAGAGGTGAAGATCTAAAGACTGCATGATGGCTGGTATTGGGAGAGGCATTACGACCCTCTGATACTTGCCTGGCAGGAGAGAGAGAGTATTCACAAACGTGGGTTCTCTTGGTGAGACTTTTGGCTCGCTCTCCAGGTGTGCTGACCTTTGTCACTTCCCCAGATGTGGAAAACTCAATGGCACATGTGGGTTGGTGGGGACGGCATCCACTCCTGACCTTGTGGGTTCTGGTGAGGTTGCTGCTGGTAAATGACCTGAGTCGCTTTTGGTCTGGAATTCTCTTTGCGTCTTAAAACAGAAAGTTAAGAAAACTCCAGACATAATAAAAATGGGGAGTGAAGGGGTAAGAGTCTCCAAACTGGTCTTCTCTCACTCTGTTCCTTCCCCCAGTGCTTTCTCTCAGCAGGCAGGCAGAGTTTCTTTAGGAAGTCAGATGATGTCAGCTCCTGCCCTAAAGCCTCCAACTGCTCCCCATTCCTCCTGAGGTAAAATCAGCACATTATAATTGCTTATGACAGATGTCATCTAACTATTTTCCCCTCACTTAATTCTCTAAAATAATTTTTAAATGATGTACCTCTCTGCATGCGTTTCAGTTAACATCCAAAGCTTTTCATCATAAGTTTAAATAACTGGATAAGATATAGCTTTCATGAGTTGTAAATATTGATACTGAAAATGAAACAAAAACTAGATAATTTGTATGCATCCATAGCCACTCAGTAGTTACCATCAAATACTCAACAAGTACATGCCTTTATGTACTCTTCTTAACAGTAGGAAATGTTACATAGATCCTTTTTCTCCACACACACACATTCCTTCTCCATTCCCCACTTCAGTCTTATCTTAATGTGATATATTTTATGCTTGAAAGTCTGTTATTGTTACTCTAATATACTTCTCAATAACGAAAATATGTATATAAATTTAAGTTACATATTTTATTTATTTCCTGTTACTGTAGGCTTTATGTGTCCAAAGAAATTTCTTTTGGATTCAGTTGCATTTATAATTGCTCTTAATATATAATTGATTAAAACACATAGATGCAAATTTTAAGCCCTTTTTAAAGCTTATATATTTATTTTGAGAGAGAGAGAGAGTGAGAAGGAGTGGGGGAGAGGAAAAGAGAGAGGGAGAGAGAGAGTCCCAAGCAGGCACAATGCCATCAGCACAGAGCCTGATGCAAGGCTTGATCTCACAAACCGTGGGACCATGACCTGAGCCTAAACCAAGAGTCAGACACTTAACTGACTGAGCCACCTAGGGGCCCTCAAATAGATACAAATTTAACAAAAAAAAATTAGTAAATTTCTATTGGCAGATATAATATCAGATATAGGTTTTTGTGAGTCTAATGTTCATGAATATAAAATTAGGACCAAAACTTGGGAAGAGGCCACTTTAAATGAAGGGCCTATTGCTGAAGCTTCATTACCTTCAGCCTCTGGTGAGATGGAGTCACTTTGGTGTTGTTTCTCTATTAGTTCATGTACCATTACTCATTATTCATATTATGTGTTGCTAAAATAAGACAGGGTTTAGCATCAATTTTTATCTCTATTCTTTTACTTAGTTTCACTTAAATGCTGAGAAAACTTGTTACGTAAAACAAGTAGATGGAAATAGATGGAGTTTTGTTATAGTAATATCTTTATTCTTTAAGTTCCTTTGACATTATAAGCTAACAATCACATCGTGATCTGTCATTATTTTTAATGGCTTGTCAGCTGTCAATTCCATGAGGACTTGTAATGTGTTGCAAGCAAAGAATCAGAAACCACCCTGTTGCAAAAACATGCTCAACTCAGTTCACTTGCTTTCTTACCCTCAACACTATTATTTCACATCGTCCCTTTGTGTGTGGCAACTGAGAGCCACTGTGCCACAGTAAGATGGGGACAGATGAATGCTGACCAAAGGGAAAAGGGGAAAGGGAAGGTGTATCCTTAGGCAGACTGACATTAGGAAAGCATGCTAGGAAAAAAATGGGACCTAGAAATTGATTCTCTTTAAATTGTGTGTCTGTTTATCCCTTGGAAAGTCTTTAAACATAGCCAGGTACCTATGGCCCAATTTGAAGGTGACGGGTCCACAAAGTGCTATGCCGTCCTTGCTCCCCTCACCACATCTTTCTGTCTCCATCTTTTACTCTCATCCTTGCTCTGGCCACGCTGCCCTCTTTACTGTTCTCTCAATGCTGAGAGTGTTCTCTAGCCTTGAGACCTTCTCCAAACTGCTCAGAAGACCCCTTCATAGTGAGGCCTTCCTCAGCTGTCCTATTCTAAACTACAACCACACACACACGTACTCTATTCCTTATCTTCCTTCTTTTATTTTTCTCCATAGCACATATAGGGGCTCAGCAAATATTGTTAAATGACTTCATTTCTATGGCCTATAAATTAGCATATCCACGTAAGCCAGAATACTCCATGTTCGAAGATGAGGCTTGGGCTGGGAAACAGGGATCATCATAGGATGTGGCCATCTGCTGCTCCTAATGGGCGGTACTGCATTGCAGTGTGTCAGGAAGCAGTGTGGGAAGCATATCGGATCTTTCTGGACCGCATCCCTGATCCGGGGGAATACCAGCACTGGGTCAGCATCTGCCAGCAGGAGACTTTCTGCCTCTTTGACATTGGACAAAATTTCAGTAACTCCCAGGAGCACCTAGATCTTCTTCAGCAGGTGAGCCTAAACGCTGTACATTCGGAACACTGCTTGGATAGCTCCCAACCCTCCGCCCCCCCCAACCCCCAAATTAGTTTCCCGCATAAAGGTTAGTTGAAGAAATGCTTAGAGATACCTGATAAGTCCAACAAGAATTTTATTCTTGCAAAATAGCATTGTACAGCCTGGTTGAAGTGAAGTTAAAGGGAAAAGGGAATGAAAATAGATTTTAGCTCTTCAGTTGACATTTGCTCTTGGTAAAATTACTTTTTATCTTTCTGCAGAGAATAAAACAGAGACACTTCCCTGAGAGGTAAGTACCCAAAATAGAGTGCTGCATGCTCTTGACTTTTGAAAGACCACATAATGGAATGAGACTGAGCTATGGTATTATGTCAGCCCCTGAGATCTGTGTAGGTTATTCTAACAGAAAATTATGCATATGTTGCACTAAAGGTAAATGAGTATCTAAAGGGGAAATGGATAGACCCTAAAGATTGAGATAGGTGTTGGCACTATGTTTGCAGATAAAATGGATTCACTACTATGTGCTAAGTATCTAAAGTGTGTTTTCACTTATGGGATATAGAGCAACTAAAATAGTTTGATTATGGGGCACTTGGTTGGCTCAGTCGGTTAAACATCTGACTTCAGCGCAGGTCATGATCTCATGGCTCGTGAATTCAAGCCCCATGTGGGGCTCTGTGCTGACAGCTCAGGGCCTGGAGCCTGCTTCAGATTCTATGTCTCCCTCTCTCTCTGTGCCCCTCCCCCACTTCTGCTCTCTCTCGTTCTCTCTCTCTCTCAAAAATAAATAAATAAGCATTTAAAAAATAGTTTGATTTTTAAATTTATGATAAACTATTAGTTACATCAGGGAAATACTAATACAATCAGAGAACAACCTGAATTTTGAAGTCTTATTTGGTATTCTGGAAAGCATTAGTATTTCTCAAACTGAATTACTGAAGCAATGAGCTATACTCTCAACAAGAACTGAATATCAAATAAGAAAATCAAAATTTTTTAGAAGGCAAGGAAAAGTATGTTAGCTAAAAAGATTAAAGAAGAGAGACAAATTCTAAACACAAATCACATACATTTTATAACATTTAGAAATCTAAATCTGAAGATAATACTAAGAGAGACACAAATTTGGCTGTATAAATTACTGACAATTCTTTATAATGCTTTTCACATGTGTTCCTTCATTTCTGTTCCCTTTGCCAACAACCTCTTTGAGGACCTTACTAATTTACACTGTGAAAAATGTCAAATCTGATCTCCCTAATGGATTTCCCTGTCTCTAACCTCTTCCCCTCTTTAACTTGCATAACGGCTGCTGGATTAATAAGTCTGAAAAATTTCTTTTCTTACACTGAGCCCTGTTCAGTGACTTTCAAAAGACTCCACCATCTTCCTCTTACCCTTCTGAATATCCTCTGCCTACCGACCCCCTCGTGCTCTGGGTACAGAAGGCTGAGTGGAGAGGACAGAATCACTCACATCGCTTGCCTTGACTCCCAGGTAGGACTAGTCGGTGGGGAGCAGGAGATCAGAGGGAGAAGACAGAATGAGGTGATTGAATTTATCACCTCCCCTCAACCGCCAACCTGCAAAGTTTTCAAGGGTTATTAGCCTCCTTCAACTTGATCTCAGCTCCTGTCAGACATTATTTCCACAGAGCCTTCTCTGTCTCTGGTTCATGGTAACTGGCCCATCTTCTCACCCCTCCTCGACTAGGGGTATTCTGAGAACCCTACTGTTACCAGCCCTGAGGTATTGATTGCACTTGGCTTTAATGATTGCTCTTATGCAGTTCCCACAGCTTAGCAAGGAACCCTTTTTTAAAATTTGCTCAGATTACCCCACAATGAGTGAGTCATCTGTTTGTTGCCAGGACCTTCATTGAAGAAGAGCCCAAACTAATCAATCACTGCCTGACCTTTCCAACTTTGCCTCCATTACCTACAATCCCACTACTGCTACGATGCCATTCCACACTGCACACAGACCACACCCTACTCACCCTACACTCTGGTCCCTAGCCTTTCCCCCTGGCCCAGAAGAACCTGCCTTTCCCACATTACATATCCAAATCCTACTCTCCTTTCAAGCTCCTGGTGGAGTCCCCCATGGACTCCATGATGTCTTAACAGCCTATTTGAGCCTACAGCAATATCTCCCTGCTTTGAATTTTGCACTGTTTTTGGTACTTACATTCTTTTAATGTTCATTTATTTTTGAGAGAAAAAGAAAGCACAAGCAGAGAAGGGGCAAGAGAGAGGGAGATGCAGAATCCAAAGCAGGCTCCAGGCTCTGAAATGTCAGCACACAGCCTGACGCAGCACTCAAACCCACGGAACCGTGAGATCATGATCTGAACCAAAGTCGGACGCTTAACCAACTGTGCACTCAGGCACCCCTTGACTCCTTCATAAGTTTTTTTAAATAAAAAATAAAAATTAAAAAAAATTTTAAGTTGATACCAGAAGTAATGTGATTGAGAAAAATCTTAGTACTAGAGTATTAACTTTGTTCACAAGACACAGAGCTATTCACTCTTCTTATGTAAAATAGGATGATACTGGAGCGCCTGAGTGGCTCCGTCAGTTGAGCATCTGACTCTTGGTTTCAGCTCAGGTCATGACCTCACAATATGAGGGATTGAGCCCTGCATTGGGCCTTGCGCTGACAGAGGAGCCTGCTTGGAAGTCTCTCTCTCCTCTCCCTCCTCCTCCCTCCTACTCTCTCTCTCAAAATAAATAAACGTTAATTTTTTTAATGTGTAAACATTTAATGTTTTCCACTCTCATGTCTATCATCATTGCTGGAGAGAATTGCTAAGGAGCAAGAGACAGACATTGTACATTAGCTATGATTACCAAGTGGTTAGGAAAGAAAGGGGGCAAGCAAGCAAGCTGTTTCTTATTTTCAACCTTTCCCGGAAGACAAAACAGAAAATTTTCTCATCTGAGTAGCCCATAAATCTGCCAGTTTCAAATGACTTTAAAATAAAAACCAGTGGAAGAATCCAGTGTCCCAGCTTCCTAAATTATAGCTTTTGAGCGATGGTCTAGATTGCCATTGTTGTGGCAGAATCATACTCAGTGGCAGAGGATAAGGAAATAGCATCTGACACAGGGTCCTGCACAAAGTGGGCTTTGACTTGTAACTAATGCAATTGCCAGCACTCCAATAACTATTCTTCTTGGTTATTTTCTGTTTTGCAGCAAGATAAGACAAGGATACCAAAGCTATAATAGTAGGAAAGAGATCTTAGTATAAACAGAGTCCCAGACAACGGAAAAAAAGGAAAATTATCTAAATCACAAATGCTCTAATGTTTGATATGAGATATTTATAAACATGATAGCCATAAAAACTATTTTTTAGCACATAGCACAATACCAGCAGAAAAGAACAAGAATACCTAATTCCGAAACAGTCTGAATTTATATTTAGCCTGTGTGCATCAGTATAGTCCTCCATGTTTACATCTATTCTGACTGGTCAGAGTCCATGCCAGGCCAATGGATAATATTTTGTATACCACCCCGATTAGCACTTTGGCAGATATGGGTATATTAGAAATATGTGGATGGTCTCATTGTCTACAGCCCACTAGATATCCATATAACAGCAGAGCACCTGTCCATTCCCTTTGCTCTTCCCATCAACATGAGCCACAGAAAATTGGATCAAACATATTGGTCAACTAAGACTATATTGCACTCATATAGACATGAGCTATTAAGACCTAAGAGCTGATAGTAACAAATCTTTCAGTGAGCTTAAAAAGGAACTACTGCTGTTCCTTTCTACATAGAGCTTGCTAGAATGAGCCAACATCATATGCATACAGCTTTATAACATGCCCTTGGATTTACCCTTAGATATTTTCCAGACTGCCCTGCATAAACTGCAAACTTACCCATAACTCCTGCAGGCAATGGTTGTGTCCAAAATAGGATTTAATACATCTGCATTATCCAGATATCTCTCTCTCTCCTATTGCTATAACCACAGGAGTTACTCTAGTAGATAAACTTAAGGATTCCCAGGATTTGTAGGTTTGAGGGTCTGAGATTTTAGCAAGAATATTCAGTCATAGATCATGTCATGTAATTATCTTTGATGTCAAGGATACAGTATAAGCACAATGAGACTATAAAACATTGAGCCTCAAAGACCAGTTTTGCCCACAATGAAAATGCTCCCAGGACCACATGAAAAATACTTATGGGAAAGTCCTAGAGTCAAATGACCATTTTCAGGGGTTGCTTGAATTTTTCTTCAGTGGAAATTTATTTGAAGATTACTTATCTAATGAAAAAATAAGCAAACCCGGTTTTAAAGGATTTTCCTCTAATTTTAAGTCTATTGAGTATAGAAAAAATAAATGAATTTCTCCTGTTGTCATCGAGCTCCTTTTCACCACCTCTTCTCTCTTTTCTACTGTGCTAATAGAAAAGATGAAATGCCTACAGAGGGGACATTAGGAGAGCCTGCTGAAACCCCTGTGTTTTCTACGGGTAAGCTTAGACCTCCTCATTCACCTGTTCCTGAAACTTAACTCCAATTATCATGAAAGAGGGATGCCTGGGTGGCTTAGTCAGTTAAGTGTCTGACTTCAGCTCGGGTCCATTATCTCATGGTCTGTGAGTTCGAGCCTCACATCGGGCTCTGTGCTGACAGCTTGGAGCCTGGAGCCTACTTCGGATTCTGTGTCCCTCTCTCTCTGCCCCTCCCCTGCTCTGCCCACTCACGTGCTCTCTCTCTCTCTCTCTTTCTCAAAAATAAACATTAAGAGAAAAAACAAATTATCATGAAAGAAAGGGAGGGGAAATTTTATCATTGAAAGTATACTATTTAAAAAACAATCCTTGATTGAATTGACAAAATTTATAATATGGTTTCTTAAAAATAATTGATATTTCTAAATGTATAAAATAATTTAGATTCATTGGATAAAACTTGTAAAATTTAGAAAAGAATATAGGTAAAGTGAAATCACCCATTATCCTTCAACTTGGAGACAATCATCACCAATATTTTCAACCAAATAATTTCAAGATAAGTATCTGTCTTGCATCCTTTATGTAGTCACAAAAGGAAAAATTAACCAGATCTCATTGGCAAACTATTTAACTGAAACATATCTAAAATAGCACCAAACTTGGGTCCCAGATGAGAAGAATGGAGAATTCAACTGGGACAAACAGTTTTCTCAATAACATATTTTTGTAATCTTACATGAGTTAAGAATGCACCCCACACCTGTGAATTACAGAATGACAGAAAGAGTATATAAAATTTTGACCATGTTCTTATGTAAACGTCTCTAATCTCATTCTTGTGCCTGTAACGTTTTAATTTCCACAGATGTCGCCAATGTCTCACTCGGACCGTTCCCTCTCACTCTTGGTGACACGTTCCTCAACGACACCGTGATGCCTACAACAGTAAGAAGTTCCGAGAGTCAATCTAGACTGTCACATGCTGTTTTTGTTTTATTAGTAAAACAAGAAAAGAGAATGGATGAACTGGCCATCTCTATTACTAGTGCTGCATTTTTATCAGTCCAATTAAGAGTCAGTGACTTTGTTCTATTCAGTATTCTCACTGCTTCCAGGGACTGAGGGGAAAAAACAGATTGAAAACTAGAATCAATTGAGAGGAATTATAAAAAGCAACTTAGTTATTAACTCCAGGAGGGTAGGGGCCCTTTTTTCCCCAGTGCTTAATGGAACTGGATATATAGCAAATACTCCTCAAGCATTAGAATAAATGAATGAATAAATCTATCAACCAATCAATCATCCAATCAATCAAGCTCCTTCTCCATCAAAATGTAATCTCACGCTGACACTAAGGATAGAAGTTTTGCTTCCAGGCATGGCCAGCATAAATAGGTCAGATAAATATCAAAATGATCGAAATCCTGAGTGTCAAATGGGGAAAAATAAGAACTGTTCGCAGGCAAAGAGAAGCACTGGCCACTGCTGTCTTTGAGAGGAATGCAGGAGGACAGGATATGTTACAGAATTAATTGTTAGTTATCAGAAAAGGGGGACATTTAAAAAATTTTTTTTTAGTGTTTTATTTATTTTTGAGAGAGAGAGAAAGAGAGAGAAAGACAAAGCACGAGTTGGGGAGGGGTAGAGAGAGAGCGACATAGAATCCAAGGCAGGCTCCAGGCTCCGAGTTGGTCAGTACAGAGACCAATGTGGGGCTCGAATCCACACACCGTGGGATCATGACCTGAGCTGGAATCTGACGCTCAGCCAACTGAGCCACTCAGGTGTTCCAGAAAACAGGGACATTGTAATCACTCCAAAATCTTTGAGTCAGACACTTAGTGCTGAAGCCAGGAAACGCTGCCTTCTTTCCCCAGGAGTGGCAGGGTCACGGCCTCACACAGTGGGCCGCAAGTTCAGCACAGGGCAATCTAGAGGTGACACATACTTCCCTGGGGTCTGCAAGGCTTTGCTAGCCTCCCCTGTGAACCTCCCTGCAAGGTCAAAGCCCAGACAGTGAGGGCAAGAAGTTCAGTCTCACCAGCTCTACATGAAAATTCAGGGATGAGAACCCTGCTGGTCTGTAGGCCAGATGGCTGCAGATTTACTGGAACTATTGCTATGAACAAAGAATTAAAATGTTCCATTTTTCTCCAAAATATTATTGTGAAAAGTGTTGTTGAAAAAAATTAAGATTAAATATACTCACTATAAAATTTCAAAGACAACTCTAGTTCACCTTCTCTTTTCTCATATTACTTATATCTCATATTCTTCAAAATCTAACATAGGTCCCCCCTTCTGCAGTAAATATCCCCTGAACATTTCATTTTACATTCATCACAGCCTCCTCTTATCTTTTTTGCCACCCACATCTATCACTCATTCTTTGGCTTAGCAAACATTTTGCTAGAATCCTCTGATGTGCCGGGTATTGAGGTATGTACCAAAGATCCTAAGATGAATAAGGCATGGTTCCTGCCTTCAAGAAATACATAATTCAAATAAGTACAACAAAATAGTCTTAGTGCTGTACTTGAGGATGGCAGGTGTATAGAATGGAACAAAATGATAAGCCAGGACAGGTTGCAAAAGATATGACTGCTAATCATGTATATTCACAGAGAGTTTTGTGCCTAGGTGACTGCATTATTTTTTTTTTTTTTTTTTTTACTTTTGGAGATTTAATAAAGTATGAGAATCATACTGGATTTGAGGAGATTATATGTAGGGTGACAAGATTAGCATATAAAAAGACTAGGTGAGTATGACATGGTACTAAATTAGAAATTCAGATATTATTCACTGCTCCAAAAGATTAGAGGAGGCAAAGGTTTGTCCCCTAAAGGATCAGAGGAAATATTATTTTAAATGAACTGAAAGGTATTAGTAAGAAGTAAAAAAATGTGTGTATATGGTGTGTGTGTGTGTGTGTGTGTGTGTGTGTCCTTCCTTGTGTTTTAGTACTGGAAGTGAGCATGCGGAGCAGTGAGGAGGGTCTCTCCGGTCAGGAGACTAGCACAAGCAGTATGGTCTCTCAACAGTGAACAAGCTATCTGGTAGTCAGGGCAGGGAGAAATGACACAAACTAAAATTGTTTAAGCAGCAACAATTCCATTTACGATTGCACTGAAGGTAATAAGATATCTAGGAGTAAAGCTAATCAAAGAGGTGAAAGATCTGTACTCTGGAAATTATAAAATGCTGATGAAAGACATTAAGGATGACACAAAGACATGGAAAGACATTCCATGTTCATGAATTGGAAGAACAAACATTGTTAAAATGTTGATATTACCCAAAGCAATTTACACGTTTAATGTAATCCATACCAAAAAACCACCAGCATTTTTCACAAAGCTAGAACAAACAATCCCAAAATTTGTATGGAACCACAAAAGACCCCAAATAGCCAAAATAATCTTGAAAAGGAAAAGCAAACATGGAGGCATCATGATACTGGACTTCAAGTTATATTACAAAACTGTAGTAATCAAAACAGTATGGTACTGGCACAAAAATAGACACATAGATCAATGGAACAGAATAGAAAATCCAGAAATAAGCCCACAACTATATGGTCAATTAATTCTGACAAAGCAGGAAAGAATATCCAGTGGGAAAAGGACAGTCTCTTCTACAAATGGTATTGGTAAAACTGGACAGCAATATGCAAAAAAAGAAACTGGACCCCTTTCTTACACCATACACAAAAATAAATTCAAAATGGATTAAAGACCTGGATACGAAACCTGAAACCATAAGAATCCTAGAAGAGAACACAGCCAATAACTTCTTTGACCTTCTCCATAGAAACTTTTTTCTAGATATGTCTCCTGACACCAGGGAAACAAAAGCAGAAATAAACTATTGGGACTACATCAAAATAAAAAGATTCTACACAACAAAGAAAACAATCAAGCTGAAAGGTAACCTACAAAATGGGAGAAGATATTTGCAAAGGACATATCTGATAAGGGTTAGTATTCAAAATATATTAAAAAGTTACAAAATTTGACACCCAAAGAACAAATAATCCAATTAAAAATGAGACGACATGAACTGACATTTCTCCTAAGAAGACCTGCAGATTTCCAACAGACATATGAAAAGATGTTCATCATCACTTACCGTCAGGGAAATATAAATCCAAACAACAATGAGATATCACCTCACATCTGTCAGAATGACTAAAATAAACAACACAAGAAGCAACAGGTATTGGTGAGGATGTGGAGAAAAACGAACACTCATACAGTATTGGTGGGAATATAGACTGGCGCAGCCACTTTGGAGAACGGTACACAGTTTCCTCAGAAAGTTAACATGAGAACTACCATACAATCCACTAATCACACTATTGGGTATTTACCCAAAGAATAAAAAAACACTAATTCAAAGGGATACATGTACACAATATATTCATAGCAGCATTACTTACAGCAGCCAAAATTTGGAAGCAGCCCAAGGGTCCATCAACTGATGAATGGATAAAGATGTGGTACAACGGAATATTAGTCAGCCATAAAAAAGAATGAATGCTGCCATTTGCAACAACATGGATGGAGCTAGAGAGTATAATGCTAAATGAAATAAGCCAGTCAGAAAAAGACAAATACTATACGATTTCACACTGTGGAATTTAAGAAATAAAACAGAATAACAAAGGGAAAAAAAGAGACAGAGAGAGACAAATCAAGAAAAAGACTCTTTTTTAAAAAATTTTTAACATTTAGTTATTTTTGAGAGACAGAGAAAGAGCAGGGAAGGGGCAGAGAGAGAGAGAGAGAGAGAGAGAGAGGGAATCCAAAGCAGGGTCCAGGCTCTGAGCTGTCAGCACAGAGCCGGATATGGGGCTCAAACCCACGAACTGTGAGATCATGACCTGAGCTGAAGTCAGTTGCTTAACCGACTGAGCTACCCAGGTGCCCCTAAAAAGACTCTTAATTATAAAAAACAAACTGATGGTTACCAGAGAGAAGGTAGATGGGGGGATGAGTTAAATAAGTGATGAGGACTAAGGAGTGCACTTGTTGTGATGAGCCCAGGGTGACGTATGGAAGTGTTAAATCACTATATTGTATACCTGAAACTATTATAACACCATATGTTAACTAACTGGAATTAAAATAAAAACTAAAAAAAATACATAGGACATTGTACTTGGGCCCACTCTGTAGTTGAATAAAAAAATAAATTTTAATTACATATATATATACACATACATATATATACATATGTATGTGTATATATATATATGTAATTAAAATATATATGTGTATGTATATGTGTATGTGTATATATGTATGTGTATGTATGTGGAAAGCTTTGAATGTCAGGAACAGAGTTGGGATTTTTATCTCATAGATAATAAAGTATTACCGAGGGTGCTGACTGAGAGGCAAGGAAAATTAATCCAGTGGCTGAGGATAAATTAGAAGACTTCTCACTAATACATCTAAAGAATTTATTTAAATGTCTCATGTGAACTTTAAATATGCCTAGTGAAATGGTAAACTTCTAGAGGATCATGCCATAGGCCATATTTTTCTTTTAACTTTCCATGGGTCCTAGTACTGCCGTACACCCATACAGATGCTTAATGTGTGTTATTTCAATGAACGAATCAATGAAATCTTTTTGTTAAACAAGCATCAGTAGTCTGGCAGGTGTGAATCCACATCCTCCTTGTGCCCTGTTAAAGTTAGAGGTTGTATGGCTGTCCACTGCTATGGAAGAAAGGGGTTCGTGATATGAAATGAGGAGACACTACATTGGCCACCACCCACATGAGTTTTGTCCCTCATGGCATTTTCCATTGGTTGGTCTCTTCTTTCACCTTACATAGCTCTGATTTCATTAATAAAAGACTAAGTACATTACCAAAGATGTTTGATTTTCCACAGACATGGTTTTTACTCTTTTACAAAGCTGTTCAGATTTCACGATCATCTGGGTACCCAATATTGAAAATCTGTCACACCCCAAGTTTCAAACCCAGCTCCAGGCTTGCTCTGTGCCCTGGGAGACCATGTGAATTCAGAACAGTGAGAGACTCCTGCTTGTTCCCAGTCCAGAGAGCAAGAAGGATGACCCCTTTGCCCTTGTGATCGGAGACCAAATCCAGGTCCTCAGAAGAGTGCTTCTGTTTCTAGCCACATGCTACCAAAGGTGGCCCAAAAGTTCCACTCCTTCTGAGAGATATTTCAAACCCTCTCTTGACCTGACAGTGCTCACTAACTAGCTTTAATGTGAAGTTTAGGCATGAATAGCCTCATTAAACCAGTCTAGACTCTTCTCTAAAGAAGATTATATTAAATAATACCTCAACATCACATAGGTTATATTGTGTAATACAGTATTCATCAAAGAGTATGCATAAAGTTACACAAGAATGTCACAAAATCTCAGTGATGCTCCAGCAGTATATATAAATTATGTGGGTGTGTATATATGTGCAAATGTTTTCATCAAGAGCACAGAGTCCTAACATTACAGTGTTCTCAAGGAGTGTAAATAGTTAATTCATTAGAGCTTTGGTACTTTGTCTCTCAGTGAAATTCAGAGGACACTTCTAGTTAATAGGATTTTAATTCTAAAAGTACTTGAGGGGCAACGGGAAGGCTCAGTCAGTTAAGCATCTGGCTTCAGCTCAGGTCATGATATGGTTCATGAGTTCAAGCCCTGTGTTGGGCTCTGTGCTGACAGCTCAGAGCCTGGGACCTGCTTCAGATTCTGTATCTCCCTCTCTTTCTGCCCCTCCAGCTGTTTGTGCTCTGTCTCTCTCTGTCTCTCACAAACAAATAAATGTTAAAAATTTTTTTTAAAAACTTGAGCCTTCATAAGCCACCTTCTTGAGACAACATCAATATACATTATATAATAGTACCGTATATTTACAATTTATATTAATAGAAGACCTTTTGTTTTCTAACTCAGGAAAGGAAAATAGAACCCACTGAGGTATCCGAAGGCCCAATGGAGCAGAAGGTGGAACTGAGCATCATTCTAGCAAACCAGAGGTTCACAGCAGAGCTCGCTGACTCCCAGTCCCCATATTATCAGGAGCTGGCCACAAAGTCTCAACTCCAGGTAAGTGAGCCCACCCCACACAACCACAGCCCAAGTCATGACTCAGAATCGGGGAGCCAGCAGAACCTAAACCCTTTGAACAAATAGTTTCAACTTCTTGTGACCAGACATTCATTTTTAACCAAAACTGCATTCATTTTAATAAAAAACTACAATGGGACCCAAAATGTTAGGGTAAATTGATCTCTAGAAAGGTTTTCTATTCCAGCTTCTCTTTTTTAAAATTTTTTTCCCTTAATGTTTATTTATCTTTGAGAGAGAAAGAGAGAGAAGAGATGGAGCATGAGCGGGGAAGGGGCAGAGAGAGAGGGAGACACGGAATCTGAAGCAGGCAGGAGCTGTCAGCACAGAGCCCAACACAAGGCACAAACTCACGAACCATGAGATTGTGGCCTGGGCCGAAACCATGAGTTGGATGCTTAACTGATTGAGCCACCCAGGAACCCCTCCAGCTTCTCTATCTTAAAAATCACTTACATTTAGGTTTAATGTAATTTTAGTATTTTAAATACTACTTTAAATATTAGTAGGTTTTTAAACCTCCTTTAACAGCGAGCCACTACACAGGTATTCCGTATGTCTAAAATTTTCATGTAAGCACCAACTAGGGAACATGTTGGGTTGAAATAGGAATTTTCAATCCATGTTTGTCTTACATAGTATTTCCATTTTTGCAGTTTAAAGAATGACATTCTTCATGGGTGATAAGTGTAAGGCTGTAATGTTGTCCCTGCTGTCCACTAAACTTAAGGGCTGTTCCAAGGTGTCTCTTCCATCTCTGACCATCATCATATCTGCCTGCCTTTTCTTTTCCTGCAGGATGAACCTAAGCTCCTATGCTCACCGTGGCATCTGTACGCCATGCGAAAAGCCCTGCCTTCCTTCCCAGCCTCATCTTACCATCCTTCCCATCCCCCTCCTTTGCACTCTACAGAAATACAAACTACTTACAACTCTTTTCTACCTTTAACCTTTCCCTGTGTTGTCTCATCTGTCTGGAATGCCCTTTCTTGAGTTTCACTTTACAAAACTTTATCAAGGGAAGTTCTCTCCCTCTCCGTTCTAGATTCAGTCAGTGCCTCTCCTCTGAGCGAACACACAGAGCCCACTGTTGCCAGGCCATTTATCACCCTGTCTTGAGATTGTTTGTTTACATGTCTTTGGCCTTTGTTGTCTGCATTTCTCCCTCTTCACCTGCCACCTCACTGTCTACAGGCTCTGAGCGTCCCTTTGAGGGCAGGAACTGTTTCTTTCATCTCTGAAGACTTACCTCCTAATACAGAGTGTGGGATGCAGTTAACTACTCAGTGACTATAGAAATGCAGCTGAAAATAGGAGCATTCATAAGATAACATAACTATGAACTACATTCATGGAGAGCCTGGGTGCCCACACATCTCACTCAGCATGGCCAGGGAACCAACAGCCCCCTACTTCTCATACTTGGAGAATTCAGTGCTTACCTCCTCTCAACTGGAGAGAAGATGAATAGGCAAAAATCTTAAACCTCCAACTTCTGCCGCATCAGCATTCAGTTAATAAAATGTAAAGAATCATTTCTATAAACTTCAAAGAGAAAGCATCAGCAGGGGGTGTTTATGAACTAGAGAAGTACTTAGACACGGATTATTAGATAAAATGGATTAAAGAATAGTCTGTTAACTTTCTGTTTGTTCTTTGAAATATTCTTTTCAGAAAATCTTTAGTGTAGTCGGAGTATCTTCAAAATTGGATAGTTGGCCAAGATTCAAATTCAGGCAGTCTGGCACCAGAACTCCTACTCTTAACCACGAGGCTATACTTCCTATTTTTCCAAAATAAATATTTATGGGACGGGGATTTTTGTATTATCATCAAATTAACATGACCATTCGAGACTCTGAAAAACTTATTAGCCAAATAAGAGTACGTGTCTCTGGGTCTTGTTCCAGAAAAACCCATCACATCAGTCCTGCTGGTTCCTCTGCACGGTCACTGGCTTCTCTGAGATGGAGCCCCTGTGCTTGCAGCATCTGTTCCCTTCCCAGGCTCTTGAGCAGTGCAGACCACCTAGCAGCCTGCCAGCACATAACCACCCAGCTCCACCACAGCCCACACTCGCATTAGCACAGCCATTCAGGCCTCATCAGGAATTAATGGACAGTGCTTTGAAGTAATTTAATTTCCACAATAAACCTAATGAGCAATTTAATACAAATGTCAAAAGGAATGCTTAGCTGTTGTCTGAATGCCTTCTCCTGTGCAAACACTCATGAGAACTCAACACGGCTGCCTTTTTATAGCCCCGTGAACATACATTCCAGCAGAATCAGGGAGGCCCCTGTGCATTTCGTATTATTAATAAGGTTAACTGGGCACTTAATTAGCAATTTAGTGGTTAGCACTCCATGATTGGAAGGTCCCCAGAAGATTATTTAGCAGAATTAACTGAAGACCTTTGTCATCTCCTCCCTAGATGCCTTCTGCACCCTCCTAAGCAAAGCTGACTCTTAATCAATCACAGGCAGGTTCACAAAGAGGCCACGGGTGGCAAACAAAAGCCCGCTCTGCTGGAGACAGTGCTGTGGAGCACTCTGGGAGGGGAGGACGGCTTTCCTTGGAGATGTTCCCTGCTGCCCGTGCTGCAGCTAGGGCTTCTGTGGAAGCAGTTCTGTGCTTGATTGATTGTTTCCATCTGTACAACGGCGCCTCTGGTATCCTGGACGAGAAAGAAGGACACATCAGGGTCTGAATCTTCTGCTCCAGAAACTGCTGCTCACACTTAAACATTCAGTGCCAACTATTGTTACTGGAATAGCATGACAGATGCCTTGGGGACCCAGAGCTATTTGTCACCAAAGGCCAGAGCAGACCTGAAGCAGGTACACAGCAGCTCTTCCCTACCTGCCTCCATAACAAAGACCATCTCTGCAAGGCCTAAATTCCTCGTTCTCCTCTGTTAAGCCTGTGGCGGGGGTGGCCATGGAGGCACAGAAACTTAGTATGCAGCCTCCCTGCCCTTGACCCCTACAGGGACCTTCACGCTGCCCTTTCCCCTCATTGAGTCATTCAAAAACAACTGACTGAAATCTTGCTCTGCCCTTTTCAGACTCCACAGTATGTGGCTACTGAGGAAGTAAAAGAAACTTGGGCTACGAAGGAGCTAGGAATCCAGTAGGAGACGTAGAGACTAACTTAATCAATAATACAATGTCATCAACTCTCTGCCCGCCGTGTGGCAGGCACTAATTAGTTATTTCTTATAGGAGCCTTATAATAAAGGGATCCTTTTGAGGCTAAGGAGATCAGATTCCGAGAGTTGAAGCCATAAACTCAAGGTCTTACAGCTAGAAAGTAAGAGAACCAATATTTAAACTCAGGCCTACACAGCTATCTCAAGTACCCAAAACCTAAGCTACCTTCATCACTGCAGTTACTATATACTCAGGGGGTGAAAACTATTTTTAATATTGGTGCAAGAAAATACGATTTAGAAGGTGAATCAGTCTGCTGGAAAAAGAAATCCATGATACACTTCAAAGGCCAATGTAAGTGATGTGGGGATTGTCTGTGCCTCACTGCTCTAGTCCTTGGCACAGATAATGTAGAGTCAGCAGTAAATTTAGATACAGTGACAATGCAGCAGCATGTTGATGAGTTTAGAGAATGAAGAGATCCACTCCAGTCAATTAAACAGAATTTGCTGAGTCCCTGCTATGTGGATGATGGTCTGCTAGGTACCGGGAGGGAGGCAGATGAAGATGAATAAATAAGATATGGTCCCTGAGCCCAAGGAGCATAATCTCAGTGAGGGAGCCATCATGCAGCTCATAGACTGTTTTATGGGATATACTGTAATAAGTTCTAGAGTAGGGGAAGAAGAAATCATTGAGCCTGACTTCAGGGCTCTACAAATGCTTTTCAATAGAGAATATGCTTGATCTGGTTTTGAAACATGGCAGCGTGGGCAGTCAATGAGCAGAAGATAGAAGTTGCATCTTGGGTTAAATGGGGGAAAATAGAAGTCTGGAGGAAGCACATGTTGTATTTGAGGAGAGATAGGTATTAGTTTATTGTCCCTAGAGGACACGATACTGGCCAAAAGGGTAATGATGACAGGAAGGGCAAAGGATAAAGTCCTTGAGAAATGGAGGTTTAGCTTGTGCATGGCCTTAAATGCCATTCTAAAGGAACTTATTCATTTAGCAGTGTAGCCCTTCAAGGGATTTTTAGTGAAGAACAACACGTATGGAATGATTACGTTGGAAATAAAAACGTGGTCAAGGAGACATCTCCTTTCCTCCTGCCCCAGCATATGTCTATCCCCCACCCCACCAAAACAATATTTCTGCTTTTCTTCCTCCCACACACACCTAAAAAACCATTTCAGCAATATAAGGGGGAAGATAGGGAAGGTATGCCTGCCATGGAAATAAAAATGTGGTGGAAACAAAATGTATATGGGATTCAAACTACCAGGAGTTGGTGACTGGACATGAGGGGCACAGAGGGAAGGTATCAGGGTTGCTGGATTTTCTGGCATGGAGGAAGACAATAGGTGTTTACGAACCTAACTGGGGTAGAGAGCCCTGGAGGAAAGGCAGATTTGGAAGGAAGAGAATGACTCTGGTTTGGACATACTGAGTTAGTGGCAAAGTTGGGATATTCATGTGTAGAACTCAAAGCTATGTCTCAGGTGATCAGTGAAGCCATAGCAGAATATGAGATCCTGCAAGGAGGGGCAGAGGGGAGTGGGCACAGGGAAGGGAGGATGTTGCCAGGTGCCTGCTTACCCCCTCAGCCTCACCTTCACGCTGCTCTCCCTCCAAGCTTTGCTACTAACACTATCCCTTCCTTTTGGTCTCTCTTGCCTCCCAAGCTGGAAGGGGCAGCGCCTGTCTATGTGGCAGTGTGTCCCCAGAGCCTAGCACAGTGTCAAGCTTACTGAATAAATAGGAGAGTGAGATAAGGAGGCCGAGAATCTATATATTTAAAGTAGAGAGCAGACGAGGGGAGCCTGGGTGGCTTAGTCGATTGAGCGTCCGACTTTCGCTTAGGTCATGATCTCGCGGTTCGTGGGTTCGAGCCCCGCGTCGGGCTCTGTGCTGACTGCCAGCTCAGAGCCTGGAGCCTGTTTCAGTCTGTGACTCCCTCTCTCTCTGACCCTCCCCTGCTCACACTGTCTCTCTCTCTCTCTCTTCTAGGAAAAAAAAAAAACAAAAAACATTAGAGAGCAGACGAGACTAAGATGGAGTAAAGAAGACTGAGAGGGATGTCTGGGTGGCTCAGTGGGTTAAGCCTCTGACTTCAGCTCAGGTCATGGTCTCATAGTTCCTGAGTTCGAGCCCCACGTAGGGCTCTGTGCTGACAGCTCAGAGCCTGGAGCCTGCTTCAGATTCTGTGTCTCCCTCTCGCTCTCTGCCCCTCCCCAATCCCTCCCCTCAAAAAATAAACATTAAAAAAATTAAATAAAAAAAGAAGACTGAGAAAGCAGTCCTTGAGATAAAAGAACCAGAAAATAAGCAGGCACACCAAGGAAGAGAAATGGAAAATGCCACTGGGTTTGGAGAGAACCAAAGAGACAACAGCCTAGAGAGAGTCCAGAGGCAGAAGCCAGACTGCAGTGGGTCAGGAGTAACTGAGTACAGCAATCATAAAATATTCTGATAACATGCCTCATTAGCAACATCAGACTAGTTAAGAAAAATTATTATAAAGTCCACATAAATCTACCAGTGAATCTAACCTATTAGAGTCTGCCTGTACCATTTTATTTAGATATAGCAGCCATTTGGACTTTCGTAACCTCTTTAACATTACATTTTCCAAATCATATAATTCAACTCAGAAAATATTATAGTTATTCCTTGTGTATAAATAAAAATACTGTAGCCAAAAAAGTTTCTTCCAAGTGCCACCTTAAAGTTATTTCATATTTTATGTAAAGTAACCATGAAAGCAGATCAGAACTAACCAATTGCAGCTTTTAAATAAACAGCAAAACACTTTCCTCGGGGTTTCAGAAATTACCAAGAACAAAGCATTTGGCCTCAACTGTTGCTTCAATTTTCTATTTTCATTTTTTTCCCCTAACTCATCAGAAGTGTTTAGGCTTTCTCAGTTAGGTAAGGTCTGACCTAGTACAGCCAGAGCGTTTCATAAATTTCTTTCTTTCTGCAGATGCAAAAGGTATTTAAGAAACTTCCAGGACTCAAAGAAATCCATGTGCTAGGATTTAGGTAAGTAAGAGGATCCGACTCTTCTCAATTTTTAAATTACTTTTCCCCTGTCCTCTTTTAAAAGCAGTGTCATGAGGAATATAAGGTTCCTCTTCCCCCTGGTTGTTTAGCCCGGCCGAATCCTGAAAACTGAATACATTTCAGATAAAGGAGTTGCCTAATTAGAACATGACTCTAGGTGATTTTTTTTTTTTTTAATGTTTTTTTTTTTTATTTATTTCTAGGAGAGAGAGACAGCGTGAGCAGGGGAGGGTCAGAGAGAGAGGGAGTCACAGACTGACACAGGCTCCAGGCTCTGAGCTGGCAGTCAGCACAGAGCCCGACGCGGGGCTCGAACCCACGAACCGCGAGATCATGACCTAAGCGAAAGTCGGACGCTCAACCGACTAAGCCACCCAGGCGCCCCGACTCTAGGTGATTTTTTAAGCGGTAACACAGGAGCTGTGTTCCTTCCTTCCTCCCTTTGGAGTCAGAAACACTGCTCTCTGCAGAGAGCTCATCTGCTGTCCTTGGAAATGTTATTAACAAACCTCTTAGGAACACACCTCAGTGGAGACAGGTCAAAATAAGTAGCAATTAGTTACCTTGGTGTCTGATTGCCTGATTCCCTATCAAATGTTAAACATCATCATCGTTTAAACAAATCAGGCTGACCTACGGAATCAGGTGAAACTAATAAAAAGCAGTACCAGTGGGGGGGAGGGGGGAAGGGAGTTGAAGGAACAGGGTAGAAATGGACAGAGGTGGAAGCAAGTCTTCGCAGAATGTATGTTTTTTTAAATGTTTATTTATTTTTGAAAGATAGAGCATGAATAGGAGAGGGGCAGAGAGAGAGACAGAGTGTGAGTGGGGGAGGGGCAGAGAGAGAGGGAGAGAGAGAATCACAAACAGGATCCATACTGCCAGCACAGAGTTCCCACATCAGGCTCAATCCCATGAACCTCCAGATCATGACCTAAGCTGAAATCAAGAGTCAGAAGCTTAATCGACTGAGCTACCCAGATGCCCCGCATCTTTTTTCTAAGTTCTCATTCAAAACATCTACAGATGGAGTCATAATATGACATATTTTTTAATATGCCATAGGGTATATGTGAGCCCCGGCATGACAGAATGAGATTTCCCTCACCAAAGGGGATTTGTAAAGTGGGTAGAGAAAGCCTCCCCCAAAATACTTCCTGACCCCTTCACCCTCTGTTGTGTTAAAGCTAGAAGTTGCCCAGGGCAAGTCTACATGCTTATGAAGAATAGCTTCTGGGTGAGTTCTATGGATGTATTTCTCTCAAAGCTCTCAGGCCTCTCTGATTTGTGTGACTCCAGTGGAAGAAAATATTGAAAAGTGAAAGTTATAAAAGATGAAACCCTTAATGTGCACCAAAGCGGACTCATTTTTCCTTATTTCAAGATGCTGCTCCACAATATTCCATGTGAAATCAGATGGATTAGAGGGAAATGAAAGGTGATAGTGGAATATTCTGCATAAACGGCAAAGTCTTCTGGACAAACCACTGCAGCTAAAGAGCAGATGTTGCATTTAAAGCTGAGGGAAATGATAGGAACAGGCCTCTCGGTGAATGTTCAAATGGTCATTATGCCCTCCCTTCAAATAAATGAAAACCTAATAATAAAAGAAAAAATCTATTTCAGAAGAAAATGAAAGTATTAAGATGATGACATTTTGCAAGATAAAATTTTTAAAAATATATCTACTGAAGCTGCATCTTTCCCACGTGTTCATCTCCATTAGAATTTATTCTTACTCCCACCAAAGATGTGTATAAAGTAAATTTGATCATGTATTCCCAATGCTCTCCACTATGGAATGAATATTTAGTCTCCCAGAAAACAGTTGAACCCTGAATACTATAAAAGATATGCTTATGGAGGTGCCTGGGTGGCTCAGTCAGTTAAACATCTGACTTCGACTCAGGTCATGATCTCACGGTTCATGGGTTCGAGCCCTACGTCAGGCTCTGTGCTGACAGCTCAGAGCCTGAAGCCTGTTTCAGATTCTGTGTCTCCCTCTCTCTCTGACCCTCCTCCACGCTCTCGCTCTCTCTCTCTCTCTCTCTCTCACAAATAAATAAAATGTTTTAAAAAATTTAAAAGATATGCTTATGAGTATGGCAAGCTTTTAATCATAACTACCAATGCTCAAAGTGTTGTAAAGTAAACTTAGAATGTAAGAAATTGCTTCCTCATGGAGCCAGATCCCCTAAAACCCTTTGAGTATCCTGGTACTGTCTTTATTTCAGCTCATTTGTACAAAACCTGATCTATAATTTCATAAGTACTTTTTTTTTTATCAGTGACCTCATTTGATTCTCCCAGACACAACTGGGAAGTTATGAGGACATCTATGATTAACACAATTCTAAGGATGAACAGAAAAAGATCAGCTTTAAATATTGCTTTATCTCACGGTGCCTGGATGGCTCAGTCAGTCAGGTCATGATCTCACAGTTGGTGGGTTCCAGCCCCGCATCGGGCTCTGTGCTGACAGCTCAGAGTCTGGAGCCTGCTTTCAGATTCTATGTCTCCCTCTTTCTCTGCCCCTACCCCACTCATGCTCTGTCTCTCTCTGTCTTTCAAAATAATAAAGTTGTTTAAAAATTTTAAATATTGCTTTATTTCTTAAAGCAATATGGGAAACTATTAACAATCATTTTAATCTAGTAGGAGGGTAGACTCTTTCAAAGGCTAGTTCACAATTGTACATAGCAACTTTATTTGTAATAGCAACAGTAAGAAATAATCCAAATATCCATGAACAGAGCAATAGATACACAAATCATGGAATATTATTACCATAGACTACTAAATAGAGGAGGCAACTATTAGAATATACAAGAATATGGGTTCGTCTCAGAATAACTATGTTGAGTGAAAGAAGCCAGAAAAAATATATTATGATTCCATTTCTATGTGGCTCTAGAACATGCAAATTAATCTACAATGACAGAAAGATCAGTAGTTGCTTGGGGAGGGTGAGGCAGAAAAGATGGGAGGGAAGGATTTCAGAGGGGCATGAGTAAACCTTTGGGAGGGATTAATTTGATTGTGGTAATGGTTTCACAGGTGTATAATATCAAACTTACCAAATTGTATACCATCATCATGTGCACTTTGTTCGTGACAATTATATTTCAATGCAAAATTTTTTTAAAAAATGGACAGGACTAGGCGCTTGGCTCAGGGAGCCCTTCTCGAAACTACAAGCCACTGCTGAAAGGAAGCAAGCAGCAGGCCCCACAGAGAAGCCCCAGTTAGGAAGTCATAGATCCTCTTATGCTTCCACAGAAAGGAAAGTCATAGCAGTCTCTTTCAGTCATATTTTACCAAGGGACGAAAGTTCAATGAATTCATACTCCAGGCAGAGAAAGCAGTAACACAAATCCCTTCACATGTAGAGAATGTCTTTGTCAACAAACACCACCTGAAATGGAAAATGAGAAAACTGAATATAGCTTCTAAACTAAATTCACATATACATCCAGAGGAGTCCAAAATATATTTGTCAGTTTGATGACCACAGTTTGATGAGCAAGTAGTGAGTGGTATGGCCAGTGAGTCCAGACTTGAAGTCAAGCAGGACAGGGTTTGGATCCCAGCTCTGCCACCTTCCAATGGATAACTTTCCCTCTCTGTGTGTGTTCCTTTTTTGTAAAATGGGGATTGTGTTGTTGGAAAGATTAAATGAGGCTGCATATAAACTGCCTGGCTCAGACCACCCACTCGGTAAACAGGTGTTTATTTTTCTTGCAACCTGTACCATGATGAATTGTACCATTCCCACAAGGCTTACTGATTAAAGCAATTTGAAAAACAATCAGTCAACAAAACACCAGTTCCAGTGTCCAGTCTCAGATTAATTACCTTCAGGATTAAATTAATCATTTAATGCTATTCACGCGATGAGAAATCCATTTATAAAATACTTTCTTAAAAAACTTCCTGGCACCAGCACTACCCAAAATGTAAGACGTATAGGATATATTTGTGGCCTCTTTGGGAAGAATATGAAGAAATCAAAGAGTTTACAAAGACCAAAAGTACATACCGTTTGAACTAAGGCTGAAATCCTAATCAGAAACATCCCATAATGCTGTTTATTTCCTGAGATTCATGTGACTCCTAAAATTCCATCCAAATTCTGATGGCAGTTTAATGTGTTTCCTTCAAAGCTCTGGGCAAGCATGGAAGACAATGGATAGAAATCTGTGTGTGTGCGTGTGTGTGTGTGTGTGTGTGTGTGTAAAAGAGAGAGAGAGAGAGAGATGAAATGATTCAATGGATATCTTAATAAATTTTATAAAAATTCTTTCTCCCTTGCATGTTCCCATTGCTCCTGGTGAAATGAAGACCAAAGAAAGGAAAAGATGGGTAATTTGGACTTTTCTAATATTTTGAAATATAGTGCCTTTTCCCCCACAGATTTATATACTGATCTTTTATAGGTAATTTTTACATATAAAACCTGGGATAAGCCCATGGCTTTTTATTAGTGTCTTATTTAAATGGGAGTAATTGCTGTAAACAATAAAAGAGAAAAGTTCTACAGAGGTATCGCTAATGAAATATGTATACAGAATTTTGTGATGCTTGAGTTACATGTCTGCCTTTACACATGTTTATTGTTTACTAATTTCTTCTCTACTTTAAACATAGATTCACTTCTATATTTAATTTTATCTCCATGTGTTGTATTGTTTTTCTTAAAGAGACACTGATTTGTATGAGCTTGAGATCCCACAGACTCTGAATCTATTGCTGATTTATGTCTTCATTTGCTGATGTTAAAATTTAACCATGCTTAAATAATAAATTAGTAAATAAGTAAGTAATTATGCAATTACTTTGTAGTAAAAACAAATTCTTAAGTCAAAATTATTATGAGATAAGTATGTAAACATGATTTGATCAGTGAAAGTGTATCCTGTAAAATTCAAAATCTAATTAGAAAAACATAAAAATACCTTTCTCTGAGGCAAGCGTGTTTTAACAATTTCTTAAATGTCATTTGTGATGGGTAATTGTCTGTCTGAATGCACACTTGTACAAGCAGCCAACCTAAGTCTGGAATAAAGCAGAGAAACTAATTTGCTTCTTGGTTCCAAGGTCAGTTTGAATTGGGACAGAGCCCATGATACCGTGGGGAGCTCAGTAATAAGAATCTAGCTTTGGCTCCTATAATTGACTAGTGTAGATTCTAACTGATTGTGTGTCCCAAAGAACTGCCAAGAGTACACATTATCAGTTCCTGTGGCCTTTCAAACACTTTTGCATCCTTTTGTGTGGATTTATGGCATAAATTGAAAGGTAAAACCTGATCCTAGAGGACAGAGCTACAGAGAATCTTACTTCATTTTTATATGCAAAAGGCATTAAATCAATAAATATGATAATAAATATACTTAATCATATAGTACTTCCCTTTCTCTTTTTTCACACCTTTCTTCCAAGATGTTATCTCAAAAGCAGCTTGAGGGAAAAGATTATGTTTAATTTAGAAATTTGTTCTTTAATTAAAAAATACTCTTGAAAGAAGCAGAGGAGAAATAACCTTAAAATTGAAGTTTTGACTTGGTTACAATATTACAATGTATAGAATACTGTCCCATTTCTATATCCTATGCTGCTGTTTCACAGACCTTCCTGAAGAAGGTTATTTGTAGAAAAAAAGACAATTCATCCTTCCTGCTGATTAGCACTGCATGACTTTGCTTATAAGACCACTAAAACTACTGGTCAACAATAGCAACTCTTGACAATTAATACTTTTTCATAAGGAATAAAGTGAAAATCCATGATCACTTGATTCAGTTAGTAGCCCCTCTTCAATCTGGCGTTCTAAGGACTAAAATATAAGTCAATTGTTCTTCCACATTTCAAATTTCTAATAAACATTTAAACTAGTTTTGAAGTGGGATATTCTTTAAAAGCCCATCAGCAAAAAGGATGAAGCTGTCTTGAACCTTTATTAGCAACACAGTGACTGTCTTTATAAGGCATGTAACAATGGATCTGGGTAGAATGTGTCCTCTGCTGTCTACAGTTCAAGCTCCATTGAGATGCGACTTATGGCCACCTTTAAGAGAGACAGTGCAGAAGCTAAAAGTACAGCAAGTGACCTCCTTTCTTTTGATTCCAACAAAATTGAGAGTGAAGGAGTCGCTCATGGAATGACGGAGGAAGACAAGCAACCAGAAATCTATCTCACAGCTTCAGACCTCAAAAAGCTAATCAGCAGAGCACTAGAGGAAGATAAATCCTTGGATGTGGAAACAATTCAGTTCACTGATGGTCAGTAGGCAGTTTCATAGTTCTGGATTTATCCTCATTTTGACAGAGACACTAAGAGGTGTAGAATGTCTCAGGGTCACCTTATTTTACCTTGGGCCTTATAGAGTCAATCATCTGTGTGACAGGCACATCACATACGGTATCATTTCTCTTTCCTCACTCCAAACTGTGTCTCATTGGATGAGCCTTTGGTGCTACACCACATCAAAAATAGGTCTAAGAGAAGCCCAGAGTTTCAGTTCACTAGTTCAGCCACAGTCATGCAAGGAGTCCAGGTAGAAAGAAGCAAGCATGGACAGCTCTGTTCCATTGGCACAACCCAGATTCCTACACCCAGTAAATTGGCTGAGTCCCAGAAGGAAATGGATGCCACATTATTAGAATAGAATAGGATAACATGATGAGAATTTGATAGAGGGACTGTTTATAAAGCCTTGCCCAAGACACAAAGGAATAGGACAGTTCCCTGGGACCAAAAGTAGCAAAGCTCCATTACCACCTCTCGGCATGAAGGATTTGCCTAATAGTCTAAGCCATCCCAAAGCCAGAGAGCAAAAAACCATTGATACAGTCCACATAAGTCAACATTCTAGGGCAGTGAGTAGCAGGGAGAGGAGAGAAGAGTGGATCTAAGAAGGTCAGGAAGATCATCAGGCACACTCAGCATTCTCAGAGGGTATCTGGAAGGACCCAGGAGCCTAGAACTCCTCACTAAGCCCAGCATTCTTGGTATAATAGAGTGACACTAGAAATGATGCCATTTTAGTATGATATGGCATGAAACTGGCATTCTCTGCCAGTTCTATTTCTCTGGTTTAGACAGTCAAACTCAACACTGGAAAACATCAAAAGGTCTCTTGGGACAACATGCAGGGCAAGGGAATCTCCTTGGCAAGAAAATGGGGGGCTTCAGACTCATCTCAGAGACCATTTGGTACTCTGGTTTATCTCTGTTCAAACTTCTGAGATGCTCTGAGAATCAGGCTTTAAGGTAGAAGTAGAACTCTGGAAATGGCCCTTGGTTCCAGCATTTATTCTAGCTATTTCTTTCTTTGTTAGCTTAATTATATCTTCATCCCCACTGGCCTAGCCAATCAACCTGCTTGCTTGATCCAAATCTATACAATAAAACTAAACATCCTAAAAGTCCATTTAAATAACTGTTCTTATCACATAAACTTACAAAATGAAACCCCCTCTGCATTTGTCTTTCAATTTATTATTCAGATCAGTGACCATTAGTGTATGTGATGCTCATTTCTGAATGATTTGCTATACCACTCCTTAAAAACTGATTATTGCCACAAACCTTGTGATTTTTCACCTGCAGAATTTTTGGGGTCATTGTCAAGTTCTGATCCCGACTTCCAGTCGGTGCTGCCCACACTCCTTGCCGATATCACAAAGGTAAGTGAGTTTGTTCTTCAAATAGGAACAAAGCCTTCCACAGGGAAAAAAATCCACTTAAAGACTGAACAGAACAAAATCTCCTTTGCCATGCTAATTTCAGTTTTTTTCTGTATGTTACAGGCAGTAGTTGGTTGCCACTTTTATTTTCTGTGTTAATAGGATACAACTTACATTTCAAATACCCAGAAATTCAAAATTCTCTTCAATGTAGTTAGATCTTTGTTTCAATTAGTGTCAGGATTTGGTGTTTTAATAAAACAAACACATGTTCATGAACTGAAAAGAATACTTAAACAAGAATATATAATTTAATTTTGACTTTCAGAAATAAATATAAACATAAGTTTACTTTATAAGTTTGTTCTTATAAGGCCTTATCTTAAGGTCTTATCTATGTTTACTTGTGAGGGTTTCACAAGTATAATGTCTTCAAAGGTAAAAATAATAAATTCTGTAATAACTTTTGTATTTCATTTAAAGCTATGTCCATTTAATTTATGCCAAAAGTTATCAGTGGAGTATTGATAAATGGAAGTGCTGACTAAGCCCTATTCCCTCTTTAAATGAAGGAATTCATAAATTTAAACATGATGGGCAATTCATCATATTTCAGCTATTAGTTAACCCTACCTAGGCAGATTCAGTTAGTCAAGAAGGCAACTGATCATATTTTAACACTGTATCAATGCATGTTTTCCTTTCTATATCACATCCTATATCAGAATCCATAGTAGGTTCAAATCAATTATAAAATGATTTGCTTATATTTAAATGAAGGGAAAAATAGAGTGTAGTCTTCCCACATACAGGGAAATGTCACTTCTCAACATCTGTCTTTCTAAATTTATTCTTTAGGATGCTACTTTGAGTCCAAAACTTCCTGTTGATCAATCCAGGCTTGAGGCAGTGGATAGAACAGGACACAGTACACCTGGTGAGTTGTTGTTTTTTTTTTTGTTTTTTTACCACAAAGTCTATGTTAGCTAACAACTTCCTCTTTGAGGAATCCATCTATGACACTTCCTCCAAGACTAGTGATCAAGTCATCCTTGACCCAGGACAAGGTTTCCTCACACCAGCGTTTCCAGCAGAAGAGCAATCCATTTAACCTCTTCTGTCAGTGTCCTTCCCTCAGCTCTAGGTAGGCCCTGGGCCTGCAAAGAGCACTGACACCACTTTCCTGATAGATCTGGTGAAAGAAACTGAAGTAAAAGCAGTACCAAATGCTACCCACACAGACTAGCCATATCTGTGAGGCTTCAAAACTAAAAATTCACCAGGTCAAGGTGGATCATAAGACAGAAGTCCATAGCAAGGGGCTATGGCAACGGTTGATTGGGCTTTTACAATCAATATATGTCCTCTCTTCACCACATACGGCCTGACCATTTACACCGTCTGTTCTTCTATGTGGTTTCTTTCATGCCAGTTCGCTCATATGTAATTGATAAGTAAGGATGTCAGTAAACATTGAAATCCTCTTGGTTCACTTTTGAATTCCAAAAATGTTTATTTTTGAGACAATAGAGTTAAGCTTTATCACAGTTAAAGAAAAATTTTTAGCAATTTATGAAGACCTTAAGAAAAAAAAATGAAAATTCTGCAGCAGAGTCTTCTTTAGTGCAAGAAGGTGCTGATATAGTGGCTTAGGAACCCTTATGTTTTCCGCTTTATACGGCTCTATGTTGAAACTGTAGGTAAAAATGTCTTTAAGGAAACATGAACCCCAGGTTATAAGGTTGATGAGGATGCACTGTGGTTCTAAGTGCAAATGACGGTGAAGATTTGTTATTGTTTATATTTTTAAATTTTTTCTATTTAAAAATTTTTTTATTCAAGTATAATTAACAAGTTAGTCTCAGGTGTACAGTATAATGATCCAACAGTTCTATATACTTCTCAGTGCTCAATAATATAAGTGTACTCTTAATCTGCTCTATTTCACCCATCCCCCCAAGCACCTACCATCTGGCAACCTATAGTTTTTTCTCTGTGCTTAAGAGTCTGGTTTTTTTGTTAGTCTCCTTTTTCCTTTGTTCATTTGTTGTTTCTTATGTTCCACATATAAGCTAAATCATGTGGTATTTGTCTTGCTCTTATTTATTTAACTTAGCGTTATACCCTCTAGGTCCATATATGTTAGTGCAAATGGCAAGATTTCATTCTTTTTTATGACTGAGTAATATTCCATTGTATATATCTCCTTTATACATTCATCTATCCAAGGATAGTTGGGTTGTTTCCATATCTTGGCTATTGTAAATAATGCTGCAATAATCATGGGGGTACATATATCTTTTCAAATTCTTGAAATTTTCATTTTCTTTTGGTAAATACCCAATAGTGTAACTACTGGATCATATGGTAATTTTATTTTTAATTTTTTGAGGAAACTTTATACTGTTTTCCACATAGCTGAATAAGTTTACATTCCTACCAAAAGAGTATGACGGTTACTTTTTTTCCACATCCCTGCCAATACTTATTAATGCTTGTGTTTTTTATTTTAGCCATCCTGACAAGTAGTCAGGTGGTATCTCATGGTGGTTTTAATTTGCATTTCCCTGATGAGTAGTGATATTGAGCATCCTGTCTTGTATCTATTAGCCACCTGTATGTTTTCTTTGGAAAAATGCCTATTCAGGTCCTCTGCCCATTTTTTAATTGGATTATTTGCTTTTTGGTGTTGAGTTGTATAAGCCTTTATATATGTTAGTTATTAACCCCCTATCAGATCTATCATTTACATATATCTTCCCCATTTGGTGGGCTACCTTTTTGTTTTGTTGATGGTTTCCTTCATTGTGCAAAAGCTTTTTATTTTGGTATAGTCCTAGTAGTTTAATTTTGCTTTTGCTTTTGTTTCCCTTGCCAGAGGAGACTTATCGGAAAAAATGTTTCTATAGCTGATGTCAAATTATTATATTATGACTGATGTTTTTAATAGGATTGTTACTGTTTTAGTTAGGACTCTCTTTACAAAATTCTACAGGTTTTGAGTGATCTACCTCAATCTTATTTTCCTAATAAACATGCCATGTGTAATTAGTATGAAATTTTGTGAAATACAAGGTTTTTCACAAATACATATATGGCATGCAAGAAGAAGCACCCATACAGATTGTATTTGGCTTACATGATTACCAGTGAATAAGTGTTAACTGCATGATCCAATTACTTATTGCTGCATTATAAACGATCCCCAAAGTTTGTGGCTTAAAACAGTAATCATTTATTTTGCTCATAAATCTGAAATGTGGGCAGGGATCTGCTGGGACAACCCTTCTGGGCCCCATTTGTGTCAACTAAAGTATCTCAAGCTAACGGGTATTGAACATCTTTTTCCAAGTTGGTTCACTCACATGACTGGCCAATCAGTACTCAATCACAGCTCTTGGCTGGTTGGTGGGGCGTGGAGTGGGACTCATTTTTTCTCTATGTAGGCCTCTTCAACAGGGCTGCTTGGACATCCTTAAGGCTTGGCAGCATGGGTTCAAAGACTCAATATTGCAAGAGGCAGAAGGTAGAAGCTGCCAATCTCTTGCCTACTCAGAATCAGTGTCACTGCATTCAATTCTAATGGCTAGACAGCCATAGAGCTCATCTCCATTCAGGAAGAGGGAGCATAGACCTTATCTGTTGATGGGAGAAGTTTCAAAAACCTTATGGCCATTTATTAACAACTGCAATCCATATCAACCACTATTTTGACTTTCAAATTATTTAAAAGTTGGTTGTGTAAGACAAAACAAACCTTTTTGTTTGTGATAGTAAATGCTCACTGGATTCCTTTCTTTCATTGTGATATCATAAAACCTTATTAAAGATCAGCATTTCAGGTAGATTAATAAAAATGACACTGTATGATGAGTGTGTTATTGTATTTGCAAAATTGCTTTACTGTTCTCATTATATTTATATATTCCTTCCACTCATGATTATAGTTTAGAACACGAAAGTGGGAAGGAATCTTAGACATAATCTAGTTCAGCTACTGTGCTTTGTGGATAAGAAAGTCAAGACTAGAAATGCGAGGTGCTTGCTCAAGGTCACACTATAGCTGGTCGCAAAGCCAGAACTGTCAGTCAGGGTTTGTCTGCCTACTAAATTATGTTTGGCTTAAGTACCCCTCATTAAAAAAAATATTCCCTCAAATTTGCTTTGCCTTTCAACCAGAGCTTCTTTTCTCTCAATGTCACTACACTGCCAGTTTTTTTTTTTTTTTAAAGTTTCACCAAAGTTTCACCTCTAACCACACATTACAGGGACACAACTTCCACAAAAATCATTGATGGCTTCCTAATTAATCAATTTAGCAGCCTCATTTCCATCTTTAATTTACTTGATATTTCTGGCAAGGACTTCTGTTGACCACTCCCTTCCTAAAACTTTTTCTTCATTTGGCTTCCACAAAATGATTTCTTGGTTCTTCTCATATTTTCTGATTCCTCCTCCTCAACCTCCTGCACTGTGGCTTATTATTAGAATTTTTTACACATGGGGAGGGGCAGAGAGAGAGAGAGAGAGAAAGAGAGAGAGAGAGAGAGAGAGAGAATCCCAAGCAGACCCCATGCTGTCAGCACAGAGCCAGACATGGGGCTTGATCTCATGAACCCATGAGATTATGACTGAGCCAAAATCAAGAGCCAGACAATCAACTAAGGGGTGCCTGGGTGGCTCAGTCGGTTAAGCATCCGACTTCAGCTCAGGTCATGATCTCATGGTTCATGGGTTTGAGGCCCCCCGTCGGGCTCTGTGCTGACAGCTAGCTCAGAGACTGGAGCCTCCTTCGGATTCTGTGTCTCCCTCTCTCTCTGAGCCTCCCCCACATGCTCTGTCTCTCTTGTCTCTCAAGAATGAATAAACGTTAAAAAAATTTTTTTTAATTATGGAAGAAAAGATAAAGCAAAAAAAACCCCCAAAACTCAGAAAACTCTTTTGGAGTAATAAAACAATTTTGGATGGTGTTTTGTACAACATTGTGAATTTACAAATTCATGATTACTGAATTGTTCACTTTAAAATTTTATGTTATTTTTCTTTTTTCTTTAAACGTGTATTCATTTTTGAGAGACAAAAAGAGATAGAGTGTGAGTGGGGGAGGGGCAGCAAGAGGGAGACACAGAATCAGAAACAGGCTCTAGACTCTGAGCTGTCAGCACAGAGCCCAAGGTGGAACTTGAACTCACAGAAGATGAGATCATGACCTGAGTTGAAGTCAGACGCTGAACCAACTGATCCACCCATGCGTCCCCAAAATTTTATGTTTTTTTCACCTCAATAATTTTTTCTTAAATAGTTTATTATCAAGTTGGTTTTCATATAACACCCAGTGCTCATCCCAACAAGTGCCCTCCCCCATTGCCCATCACCCCCCTTCCCCTCTTCCCCACCCCGATCAGCCCTCAGTTTGTTCTCAGCATTCAAGAGTCTCTTATGGTTTGCCTCCCTCTCTCTCCCCAACTATTTTCCCCCTTCTTCTCCCCCGTGGTTCTCCGTTAAGTCCTCCTAATCCTCCTATACGTGCAAACATATGGTATCTGTCTTTCTCTGCCTGACTTATTTCACTCAGCATAACACCCTCAAGTTCCATCCATGTTGCTACACATGGCCAGATTTCATTCTTTCTCACTGCCATGTAGTATTCCATCGTATAGATAAACCACATCTTCTTTATCCATTCATCAGTTGATGGACACTTAGGCTCTTTCCATGTTTTGGCTATTGTTGAGAGTGCTGCTATGAACATTGGGGTCCATGTGCCCCTATGCATCAGCACTCCTATATCGCTTGAGTAATTTCCTAGCAGTGCTATTGCTGAGTCATAGGGGGGTTCTATTGTTAATTTTTTGAGGAACCCCCACACTGTTTTCCAGAGGGGCTGCATGAGTTTACATTCCTACCAGCAGTATAGGAGGTTTCCCATTTCTCCAC